GATGTATTGTGCTTCAGCGACCACATAGAAACTGCCACTCCCAACTTTCACAATGGAAGGACATTATCGCTGCTGAAGGTTGTGCTGAAGAACCTGGTTCAGATAATCTGCTATCTGCATTCATATGCTGCTGATACAGTGCTTCTTGAGAAGGGAAAAGTTCGGGCTCAGACCAAAAGCTAGTATGTAAACGCTTTTCCATCACCGAGGAAAGAAAAATAGCTCTCAGGGCTGGTCTGGGATTGGTTATTAGGAAGGAGAGTGGCTGCGAATAGAGCAATATGTGAGCCTCTTTGCTCATAATGCAGACACTCGACGCATCCATTTTCTTTGTAACTTGATAGTCTTGATGATTTGGGTTTACTTAGTTGTGATTGATAGCTATGTTGATTTACTCGATGGCATTATGAAGTTTCGGGGTTTTATATTGTATGATTGATATCTGCTCTTGGATTGCCAACTTATTTTGGTAACGAATTCCTCAAAATTTTATACTCTGTAATGCCGAGGTTGATGAAAGTGATCTACAAAACCATGATTTCAAGTTCTGATTACACTGAGTTTGAGAACTTCACAAAATGGCTCGGGGTTTCTCAGTAATTTTGCTTTCTAGATCCAAGTTTCTGTTAGAAATATGCGGTTTCAGATATAATCTACTGAGTTTTGCATCTTGAAGACATAGACTTGAAAGTTCTCACCCCCTGGTCTTGTTATTTTAAATTTGTGCCTATAGGCTATAGCTGTTGTAGTTGGAAGGCGCTTTACTGAAAATTTACCGTCTTTGGTAATTGTTACTCTAGTTCTTACATGGATTTCCATACCTTCATGTCTTGTTGCAGTGTTGCTTGTGGCTCTCTTCTCTTTTTCCTTGCACTATGCCATCATGAAGAATACATAATTTTGTGTAATGTTTTCTGCTTCCTTTATTTTTTTTTATTTTTTTTTTATTGTTAATCTAAGGTAAAAATTGGTCAGAGATTTTACTTTATATTTATAAACTTGTTGAGCTGGATAAACTTACGAATGCAGGGTCATACTATATTAAACATTATGGTATTAATCTAAGAAATAGTTATTATTTGGTTAAACCACTTGAATGTAAACATTTTCTTATGTCAAGTGCACATTCTCCTTGATTCCCTTGGTTAAGGAGCACAATAACAGTAGTTATAAAAGATGAGTTAATGTTGGTTTTCATGGTCGACTACACCAATACTTAGAGTGCCTAGAGGTAGTATACTTGTCAACAACATGGTGGGCATTAAACATGTATATGGTCGACAATTTTAACCACAATTTTTATGGTGTGGCCTCGATATAATCTAGGCCAATACTTAGAGTGCCTCCTTTTTTTTTATTTTTTTTTTAATTTTATTTTATTATATATATATATATATATATATAGATAGGGTCGAGATCCGGTGAGAACCACCCTCTATGTGAGAACCTATCTTTTATGTGAGGACAAATCTTAGCCATTAGATTGTAATAAATCCAATAGCTGAGATTAATGATATAAACCTTCCCTAACAACTTTTCTGCTTTGCTCTCTCTCTCCACCACGAAGCTTTAAGGTTTATCAATGACGTCAATTTCTCTTTTCTCTTCTTGTTCACGAGTATCAATTTCCATAAATTATTGAGGTTTGTAATTCTCTTAGTTTTGTAAATTTTGTAAATTCAATGATCTTAATTTAATCTTAACATCAAAATTTACAAAAAAAAAATTCAATTGCATGTTGATTTTAGTGTTTGAGAATTTCAAATTGTTCAAATCTGATTATTACCGAATTACATAAATTATTTTCGTTAAAATATTCGATTATATTCGTTAAATTATTTCAGAATCTAATATTTGTCTGCGTGTTACTATTTTTAAGAACCCTAAGCTGCAATTTCCATATGGTTTGATATGATAACCTATGTTGGTTTTGACTTGATTGATTAATCAATGGTAAAGAAAGGAGGAAGTAAATGCACACCAAGTGTTTGTGAAAAAGGCGTTGAGAAGAATGATTTGATTTTTTTTTTTTTCATGTTTATTTAATTTATAGTTTTGAACTCTCTGTGAATTGGTTATCACGTTTGCTTCAATTGGTTTTATTGCAATCATTAAGTTGATATATAGTCTTATTAGGAATGTAGGAGACTGGATTATCACTTTGCTATTCACTTTACAATCATTAAGAGGCATGCTCATGATAATATAAGTTACCCTTTCCATGACAGAACATACTACTTTATCCCTTTTCCAACCTTCCAAATCATTTTTCTGAACATTTGTAAAAATATACTACATAAAATATCCCCATCACACCTGGAACAAATGGTATTATCCTTCTAAATACCAACAGTGGGAAAACATGGAGTAAAATCCGGTGATGATCAAATCAGTATATGGTAGATTCAATTTTATTCTTGCTGTGTCACATGAAAATTCTGTACATTATGAAGATGCTTACAGGACTATACACTTTACAGTATCATACTGATCATTATATCCTGATGTCAACCAGGCTTGTTCGCATTGCTTCTTTTGCCAATAGATTGTCAATGTATATTCCTCCAGACATTCAGTATTTAAGATGCCTTGCAAACTACAAAGCTTTAAAATTTGCACCTCTTATATCAACACTCGCCAAAAGTTTAATCAAGCGTATGATGGAGAAGAGTCTAAAATTCGATGGTAAATATGTCTCTGTCCACCTCCGTTTTAAAGAGGTATCCAATGTTTCTTCAAGAATAGTTTGTCCTTATCTTTATAAAATGTTTAGAACATTGCTAATTTTGTGCCCATTTTCATGTGGGTCTGACTGGGCATGTAGGACATGGTTGCATTCTTGTGCTGCATATACGATGGAGGAAAGAAAGAACAGTTTGAGATGGACTTTGTCCGAGAGAAAGGATGGAAGGGGAAATTTAGACGCAGGGGCACTATACTTAATCCTGGCCTCAATCGAATCAGTGGAAAATGCCCTTTAACTCCTGTGGAGGTATGTTCTATCTTTCACTCAAGCTATCAAGAGCCTTAAGGATTGATCTCCTGCAATATGCAGATAGACCTTTAAAAAAAGAGTACATTAATCAATGGATCTTTTTTTTATCTCTAGATGTTGGGAACAAATAGTATATATCCTTGAAAAAAAATCCCAAATAACTCATAATGGGGGGGGGGGTGTGCAGGTGGTCTTTGCACCTCTATATAATCATTTATCTTACCTTCCCTCCCATGCTCGCTTCTTGTCAGCATAGGTTGGAATGTTGCTTAGAGGAATGGGGTTTGACAACAATACATTGATCTATCTGGCATTAAGAAAACTATATCAGGAGGACAGACAGTTAAGTCCCCTATTAGAGATGTTTCCGCTTCTATATACTAAGGAGTCTCTTGCATCCCCAGAAGAGCTTGCTTATTTTAAGGTAATTATTGCAATTTTTCTTGCACTGTGAATAAGTTAATAGTGATCTAGGGTTTCATTGATCGTAATCATGATTTACTCCATATTTAAACATGTAGTATAAATTACGTGCTTCACATCGCAAGAATTTTAAATGGCTGCAGTTGTAGCTTCCATTATTGTAAATCATATGAACTTATTCACCTGTGACAGGGATACTCTTCTAGATTCGCCGCTCTGGACTATATGCAGTTTGTTTATTCAGCGAGGTTTTCTTGACCACACAGGGTGGAAATTTTCCACATTTCCTCATGGATCATCGCAGATATATTTATGGTGGACATGCAAAGACTATCAAACCTGACAAGCAGAAACTTGCTCTTCTATTTCATAACATGAGCATCAGGTAACTTTCAGTGTTCTCTTTGTTAAAAAGTTAACCTGGTTGATTGCAATTGTGATTTGCATATGTGCACTAGCATGTAGTACAAAGCATATGATATGAATTGTGATTTGCATATGTGCACTAGCATGTAGTACAAAGCATATGATATCTGTGGGATTATGAAAGGTGATAGCTACTAGAATTGCCCGAATTAGAACTTTGGATTTCTGCAATTCCGTGGGATTATGAAAGGTGATAGCTGCTCGATTGTGATGAATATGTGGCTTATTGTTCTGTAGGAGCTCAGTGACATGACAGACATCAAAGTAGAGGATATTTTGTCTACTCTCCAAAGTCTGGAGCTGATCTAGTATCGCAAAGGGCAACATGTCATATGTGAACCTATTAGCTCAATTGGTAGAGCACTATGCAAATGCATAGGGGATGTAGGTTCAATTCCTACATAGGTTATCTCTATAAATCAAAATTAATTAAAAAAAAAAAATCAAATTCGTACTAAATTATATGAGCAAAAAAATGGTTTGAAATGATTTATAACTATATAAACTTTGTTACAATTAAACTCTCATACAAACTTGTGTCTCCACATTACATAAATGAAATTACGTGGGATTCGAACCCACATCTTTTGTGCATTTGCATAATGTTCTACCCTTGAGCTAGTAGGCTTACGTATTTAAAACATTCAAACACACTCACAAATAAGCATTAATTTGACAAAGTGAGTAAGAATTATTTGCTCATTTGAAAAATGAGCATTAAATAGTTTGTTCATTTGACAAAGGAGCATTGAATTTTTTTACTCATTTGACAAATGAGCAAAAAATAATTGCTCATTTGACAAATGAGCAAAAAATAATTGCTCATTTGACAGATGAGCAAAAAATTAATTGCTCATTTGACAGATGAGCAAAAAATTAATTGCTCATTTGACATATGAGCAAAAAATTAATTGCTCATTTGACATATGAGCAAAAAATTAATTACTCATTTGGCAGATGAGAAAAAAATTAATTGCTCATTTGTCAGATGAGCAAATAATTAGTTGCTCATTTGACAAATGAGCATTAAATAGTTTGCTCATTTGACAAAGGAGCATTGAATTTTTTTGCTCATTTGACAAATGAGCAAAAAATAATTGCTCATTTGACAAATGAGCAAATAATTAGTTGCTCATTTGTCAAATGAGCAATTATTTGTTGTTGATTTGGTGATTGACTCAACAAATTGTCTAAGAAGAACCATATATACCTCTTAACAAATTATCTAAGAAGAACCGTACATACCTCTTCACCTACAAGCTGAATGAGAATATATTCAGGTTTAAGATGCAAAGACACAGGAAGTCTGTCATATACTGATATATGTCCTCAATTGCAAGCTCTGCTGTAATATCACCAATTACAGTCATTTTAAAATTCAAAGGAAATTATGAAATTCAAATTAACCAATAATTTCCAACATGCAAATGCCACATAACTAATGTAAACAATTACCACAGATATAACAGGAACAGTCACAAGCACTTAGAGCTTACATTTTGCATATACTGATATATGTCCTCAATTGCATATTGAGTGATTCCTCTCATGGTATATGTTTTACCACTACTAGTCTGCCCATATGCAAAAATGGTTGTTGCAAGAAAGGAAGTTTGAACTAAATCAACAAACAACATCCACTAAACCTAACCAGAATAAAGATATCTATATAATCACCATTAATCCCAATAAGAGCTGATAAGGCCACATCCTTTGCCCCTCCTTCATAAACCCTCGCGGTCACACAAGTTAACTTTATCTGATACACAAAACAGCCATGATTTATTTAGCTTCACATTATAAAAACTTGCATCATACCCTTGGTTCAATAAAACTATGAAATTACCAAAGGTGAAGGAGGAAAAAGACTTCTCTCATCATTGGGATTCTTGAACACTACTGTCTCCTCATCTGGGCACTCCAGCAATGCAATCAAATCTTACATTGTTTGTTCCTTCAATCTTAGCGGCCTAACTCGAACCATTACCATTATCTTCTCCTCTCGAACTTTCTTCCCTCTGGAGTACATGATGATGTGTTGTTAGGACCTTGGACAACAGAGTCTTGGGCTCTCCCATTTTCAACACCCAATTTCAAAATCCACTTTTCAAATAGTTTAGTCATTTTATCAAACACTTAGATGGAAATTACAAGAATTGGGTTAAGTGTTCAACAAACATTAAACAAGACTCTTGCATATATAACTGGGTACAAAATCAATCTAATCAAACTTCAGATTATCAATTACTAAATTACTAATTAAGGGTGTCTCTAATTTAAGAGCTACACTCATTTTAAGAAATCATCAAAACCCAAAAAAATCTAACATAAATTAGACAACGAAATCCAAGAAAAAAAGGAAACCCAGATTACAAATGTTGAATTAAAAATTAAGTTATTATGCAAAGTAAAACATAAATAAGCATAATGAATTTGCTCATTTAGTTTCTATTTTCTCATTATATAATTAATTGACATTAGCAAACGAAAATAAAATGAGCAAATGAAAATAAAATGAGCAAAATAGAAAAGAGCAAATAAATAAAGTAAAATACAATTAACGATAATTAAACAGATACTGAGTATAAGGACAAATTAGTGAAAATTAACAAAAATGAAGCAAATAAACGACTGTATAATCTAGATTGAGCAAGTAAAATTCTTGAAAAAAAGCAAAATTACATCCACCTAATTCGTATAACAAAAACTTACTTTTTTTTTCTTTCATATGTAAAAACAGGAGATTTTGATTCTTCATTAGGATCTTTACTTAAATCAATTTGGCGATTCAAGATTTCTAGGCTTTCAAGTGAAAATCAAACAATAATACAAATAGAAGAATCAACTTAATAACTAAAAGTAACATCAACTTAATAACTACTCAAAAAAACGAAAATCAAACTAAAATCAACGAAATTCACCTTGACGAAGAATCAATGAAGTTTGAAGAAGAATTGATGAAGAATCAGAGCAAATAACAGAGAGGAAGAGAGCAGATATCAGAGAAATTGAAGGAGGAGGGAGAAAACGATAGAAATTTGTTTTTGAAAAAATATTTGACCAGAATAAATGGTAGCCATTGGATGCAATTGATCCAACGGTTGTAATATGTCTTTACATATACCAGGTTCTCACATAAGGGGTGTGGTCTCATATGATCAAATAACAAGGCTTATGATGAAAACTAAAAACAGAAAATCTCAACTGTTCATTATTACTAACAAGATCTAACGGTTTAAAAGCCAAATGATCTTTCCAACTTTCTCTTTATAGCGGTAACAACATAGAAAAATACACAACTTCATCAAATTTGACAACATTTACGTAAAGGTAACTATGTATACAAAAAATGTAACTTTATCAATTTTGACAACATATACATAAAGGTCCCTATATACAAAAATGAAGTAACTATATCAATTTTGATAACATTTACATTGAGGTCACTATATACAAAAATAGGGTAACTATATCAATTTTGACCACATTTACATAAAGGTCACTATATACAAAAATAAGATAACTATATCAATTTTGACCACATTTATACAGAGGTCACTATATATAAAAAATAAGGTAATTATAATTATTTTGACAACAATTACGTACATAGAGATCACTATATACAAAAATAGGATAAGTATATCAATTTTGACAACATTTAAATAGAGGTCACTAAATACAAAAATAGGGTAGTTATATCAATTTTGGCAACATTTAAATAGAGGTCACTATATACAAATATACGGTAACTATATCAATTTTGACCACATATACATAGAAATCACTATATACAAATATAAGGTAACTATACTAATTTTGACCACATTTACATAGAGGCCACTACGTAAGTATGTATAAATAAAGGTAACTCTATTAAAAAAAAGGTTATTTGATTAATTTTGACTACATTTTATTAATATCACTATATGTAAACCTATGTAGGATTCGAACCCACGTCATGTGTCCAATACAAGTACACATTGCTCAACCAATTGAGCTAATAGGTTTCCAACACGCAAGAACAATAAAGCTTATAACCAATCAAGTTCGGAGTTTCGGTTTTTGATCAAATGTTCTTTTGCATCACAAGGTTGTTGCCCCCCTCCTTTGCTACTGTCCCGAAGCAGCCTAAACCTTCACCCCACCATCAGCTAACCTACGTAGAGGTCACTATATACATAGAGTAACTATATTAATTTGACAATGTACAGGTCACTATATAAAAATATAAACTATATCAATTTTGACAACCTTTACATAATTTTGCTAGAATATAAGGACTAATAGTTATACATGTTTGCTTGGCCTTATAGTAGGAGTCCTGCCTATTCATGTATGAATCAATCAAGTAAGACATTAAAGAGATCAGAGGTCACTAAACATAAAAATAAAGAGTATTAAAAAAGTCTATGTAGGATTCGAACCTACATCCCGTGATTACACATTGCTACCAATTGAGCTAATAGGCTTTCAACATGACAAAAACGTAGAGGCTTAAAACCAAAACATTTGCCTTATCAGATAGGGCATGCTGGCATGGTACATTATAGATGCAACCACATAGACAAATACATTGTCCTGCAAAGACGGACCATATTTATACATCTTCTTAGCAGTCAATGCTACCGCCAATTACTGACCATCAATATGAAAGATAGAATAGATAAAAGTCGTACAAAATTGTTCTGGAATTGTTAGATGCAGTGTATATTTAACACGAATCAGCTCTTCCCATCAAATTTTATTCAGCTATGAGCTTTCTTATACAAGGCTACTGTCTCTGTAATGGCCACAGGGAACAAGTGACTCAACTTATATCATGATGGTGTCAACCATATGCTCACTTAGAGAATACATTAGAGAAGGCCCTGCTAAAATATCTAGGGATTGATATAAGCATTTTACATAAATTGTGATTGCTACAACAATCAATAAGGCAAATGAAACTAAAATAAGAGTAGAACAATTACACATAAAAACCTAATTAACTAAATCAAGCAGAATTAAACAAAATATTGTTCAAATCTACTCCTGTGAAAATGTACTGAAGTCAAAACTCAAAAATACAAATCAAATCGATAATTTCCACCAGAAAAAAAAAAAAACCAGAAACGAAGAACTCAAAAAATACACAAATCAGAAACGAAAAACCCAGCAACTATCCAGGTTCTAGAAACAAAGATGCAAAATCGAGCTAAAATCACACATCAAACCTAATTTACTCAAATCAAGAAATTAATGTAGATCAAAGAATTTCTTACGAAGAAATTAAGTCGAATTTTAACGTAATCACACTCATATGAAACGCAAATAAGCAAGGAAAAGCTCAAATAAAGTGTACTACGACATAATTACATATAACTCATAATTGAATTCGTAACACAAAAAATCAAGCAAAAATTATACAAAATACCTAATCTACTAAAATCAAGCAAAATCACACAAATGCAGCTCAGAAATACTCCTATGAAACTAAAACTCAAAAAAAAAAAAAAAAAAAAAAAAAAATCAAATCGAAAAATCAATTTGGTATTTCCAAAAAACACGTATAAAATACCAAATTAAACAAAAATCATAAACGAAAACTCACTTTTTTTAAGCTAATGACGAAATTAATGAAGATTGAACCAAATTCCTCTATAATTTGATGATGTTCAGCGTTGATATTGAATTGGGTGGCTAAGATGAAACGCCCAGAAATTTCGAACAACCAGGCGGTTGTTCGAAAGATCTAGGCGTTTCAGCCTAGGTTCTTCGAAAAAGTTGGGCGTTTCAGCCCGATTCCAGAAATAATAATTAAAAAAAAAAACAAACTTCTTCTCTGGCGACCGCCTTCCCCTTGTCCTTCCTCGTCATTTCCGCGGAAATTGGGTATTACGAGTAGTTTGGTTGTAGAAGGAGGTGGTGTTGGGTGGTAAAAGGATGTGGTGGTGGGTGTTAAAAGGAGGAGGAGGTGGTGATGATGGTTTAGAGAGATAAATGTTTTTAAGAGAGAGAAGAGGGAACGAGGGTGAAGGTAAGTTATGTTAGTGGGGTAAATTTCTGTTTACATATGAGGGTAAATTTGTAAAATACATTTTATTTTACGGGCGTTACCTAAAGATTCGAGGGCGATGTTTAACAATCCCCGTTGTTAATAATGTTTTAAAAATCAATATTGAATATTTATGAAAATATAAATATAATAAAAAAACCAGCCACCCCTTTCAACAAGCAACTTAGCCCCCTTCCCACCCCCGCCGCGACCACCAACCCGCCCCCGCCAAAGACCCAGATGTCTCTACCGCCGACGACCCACCCCTCTCCCTTTCCCCTTACCCTAACACCTCCTTCCCCCTTGTTGATGTCCCCCAACCTAAATCCAAACCCGAAACCTCCACCCCCTTCCATTTTTCTTCCCCCACAACAAAACAACCCACTTCCTTTCCCCAAAGAGAGAGGGGTTGTTTCATGGTGGGGGAAGAGAGGGGTGGGTTGTGGCCTATGGTTTAGGGTCGCGACGAGGGTAGGGGAAATGGGAGGGGGTGGGTCGGCCACTAGGGAACATAGGTCACTGACGGGTGTGGAGCTCTGGGCGGCAGGTGGGAAGGGGCAGCAGAGCTGGTGACAGTGCTAACCGGTGGTAGGGGTGGAGGTGGTGGTGGTTGGTTTTCCTTTTTTTTTTAAAAAAAAAATTTAAATATTTTATAAATTAATTTAACTATTAAAAAATTAACCATGATTAAAAAGATTTAATTAAAATAATTATTCTCGTTGATAATACTTCCTCGTTTTTTTAATTGCACCATTTGGGTTGGGCACGAGATTTAAGAAAATTGTAAAAGATGAAGTATGTCAAAATGCCCATGTGAAAAAGAAATAAAAGGTAGAAAAGGTGGGGTAATAATGGTTGTTATCACATATGTACAAGGGTAGGTACGAATTTTAAGTGTGATCACAACCAAAAAGTGAAAAAAGCATACCATATAGGGAAATTGTGCTATTTATATGCAATTTCTCAAAAAGGAAAATAATGCAATTAAAAAAAAAGGAGAAGTATAATATTATAGACTTGGATAGTAAGTAGTGTTTAAATTACAATATATACTACGATTTATTTATTTATTTACTTATTATTGATATTATTATTATTAGCAAAACTACGTGTGGTTAGGGGATTTTTCCTCGCCACGTGGACCACTCAAATCCTGCCACGTGTCATCCACTGGACCAATCAGAGTCCGCCACGTGTCACCTCGTGAGAGGTCCAATGTGGACCAATCAGGCCTTGACACGTGGCAGCCAGATAGCCAACCAGGAAAGTTGGCCTCTTACGGCCCAAAATTCCAGGCAAATCCCAATCAGCCCTAGGTTTACTGAAACCTAGTATTGGGCACGTTTTCCAACACCCTATAAAAGGGAGATGTTTCTCTTTGAAGAACATCTATTCAGAAATATTCAGTACACATTTTAACTCACAATCAGAGAAAGTCAGACATCTGACACCTTGAACTAAACAATTAAACATTGCAGATTCTCTCTTGGAATCCGAGAGACACCCTTTACTTTCCGCACTTCACTCCTCATACACGTTATAACTTGATCGTCGGAGGCGAAGCTCCCACCCACCGGAGTCTCTGTTGTTTTGCAGGTACAGGCGTCTAGGGGTCAGTCTTGGAATTGTAACTCTCCCGAAGGACATCAAAAAACCCCGAAACATTTGTCGCCGTCTGTGGGGAGAGTACTTCAAAGATGACTTCACAAGAACCTGTACCACCTCTTAATGAGAAACGGCCTACGGCCGACGTCCAGGTCTTCTCAGACCAAGATACGGATGACGACTATGAAGTCGCCACCCATACGGCCCCTGACGGGTCCCTCAGGACACGCCGCATCCGACCCACCGAAAGGAGGGAACGAAACACTGACCAGGCAGGCCCGAGTGAAACAGTTGGCCAGCCGACAGGTCAGCCTCAGGCGGCCGAAGGATCCACCCCCATCACCAGAAATGAGCTCATGACCCTCATGACAAGTTTCAAAGGGGAGATAAAGGATCTTATTGATAAACGGACTGTTGTCCCTACCAAGGAACATTCGGCCAAGAAGCCCTCTTATTCTGGGAGGAAAAAGCCGGTCAAAGACCGAGAGGCCACTCCTTACCCTAAACCAAGGGGGAGGGACGGAAGCCTTTGATAAACCTGGCTGGACTGCGGTTCCCTGAGCCAGGGCAGAGGAAGGCCATCCGACATATACAGCCGGATGGTTCCAAGAAAACATATTCCGATGCTCGGATGATAATCCAGCAAAAGAAGAATATGCAACTGTCAGAGTCGGCCTCCACGTCGAACTTCAATGACAGTTTTCAGAATGCCTCGCTGAGGTATTCTCAATCACACCAAGAGACCAGACAGGCGGCCTGTCCGCCCATTCTAGTCCTCAGATGTTCCAAGCGGCCCCGTATGTGCCTCAACAGCCATACATGCCGTATGGACCACCTTATATGAAGCCTACCCTCTTCGGGGGAAAGGCGGCACCCAATATCCCGCCTTTGGATTGGCAGCTCCGACTGCTAAAACTTGGGGAACAATCGTCAGCTTTCTCCAAGGAAACAACTGAGGCCGCACGGCCGGCCAAGGTGAAGAATGTGTTGGTAGACACTTATTATGGTACCTCTAACCCAGAAGACCACCTGATGGCATACACCAGCCTTATGTATCTACAAGGGTTGGATGATGCTACTTGGTGTAGATGCTTCCTGGCCACATTGAAGGGCGTCGCCCAGCAATGGTTCGGCAACCTGCCAGCCGGATGCATCAATAACTTTAAGACGCTGTCATACTTGTTCGTGTCAAACTTCTCAATGAATATCCCTGCAAAGAAGACAAGTCTTGACTTGGGAGCCATACAACAGGGAGAGAAGGAGGGGTTGCGCTCATATATCAGGCGCTTCAATCTGATGAAAATAAAGATTCAAGGGTTGTCTGATGAGGTAGCTTACACAGACTTTTTCAAAGGTCTGAAGGACGGGTCGGCCTTCAAGTTCGACCTCATCAGAAAGAGGGTGGCTACCCTCTAAGAGGCACTGATGGAGGCGGACACCTATGTACAGGCGACCGAGCTCTGCAACATCAGTAAGCAGTTGGACACAAAGAGGTCTGACAAAAAAGAGAGTCGGCCTCAAGGCCGGCTAAGAAAGAAGAAAAGAAGAGAAAACAAGTCTGGGTGGCTGAATCCTCTGAACAGCCGTCCCAAAAGAAAAAGAGAGAAGCGAAGACGTACTCCCTAAAGTACAAATTCAATAAAGACTGTTACTCTATCCTCATAAAGATTAAGGACTGGGTCTCTATTGACAAGTCAGCTCCTATGAAGGGTTTCGCCAAATATCGGAACAAAAACAAATACTACCACTACCATGAGGATATTGGCCACGACACCAACGGATGCTATAGCCTCAAGCGGCTGTTGGACCGTCTGGCTGATAAAGGAGTCCTCAAGTCTTGTATCTTGAGGTCCAAGGTAACCTTGCAGACTAACCCTGGACAGTCGTCCAAGAAGAAGCCCCACTCTGCTAATAGCTCGGATACGGATGAAACTCCGATCTATACAATAGCAGGCGGCTTCGCTGGAGGCGGTGCTACCATCCGGGGCAATAAAGACTATGTCAAGCGCCTCGATGTTAACTCAATTGATGAGGGACAGGCGTCCAAGGACTACTTCCCCGAAGTCGTTATTGCTGAGAAGGATAAGGGCAAAATCAAGAGGCCGCATGATGATCCTATTGTCATCGAATGCAACGTGGCCAACCAAAGAGTTGGCCGGATCCTCATTGGCACTGGGAGCTCATTTGATCTCATCAGTCACAAGTGCCTGGCCAAGCTCAGGTACAAGCTCGAGAGTATGCACCAGGTCTCTCATCCCTTAGTAGGATTTGAGGGTGGTGTGGTACATCCGGTAGGACGAATAAACTTACCCATTCGTCTAGGCGAGAAGGGTGAGGGACGCCACATGGTGGTCAGTTTTTTAGTTGTTGAAGAACTGACGGCCTACAACATGATTTTGGGGCGCCCTACCCTGAATGAATCCAAAGCTGTTATCATCCCTTCTCTTATGCTTCTCAAGTTTGAGAGGGATGATGGAACAGTCGGCACCCTACGGGGAGACCAAAAGATGGCCAAGGAGTGCTACCTCTTTGATGTCAAGCCCTCTATGGTCGCAGCCGGCCCCAGTGGAGAAATTACTGACCTTGACCAAGTCAAGGAAGTCGCGCCTGCTGCAACAGCAGCCGGCAAGAAGAGAAAGGCCAACCAAATGATGGCCGAGAAAAAAGATAGGCAATAGCAATCACTGACCGGTCAAAGGCCGGATGAACTCCGTCCCCAGCCGGCTGGTGAACACATGGACATCGTCCTAGATGACTCTCGTCCCGACCGGATTGTTAAGGTCGGGACGACTGCTTTTGCTAAACTTGGTGCAGACTTGCACCACTTGTTGAAGGAATACAAAGACATCTTTGCCTTTGAAGTGGACGAGATGCCAGGCATCAGCCCGGATCTAGCCGTCCACAAACTTGCTGTGGATCCTAAAAAGAAGTCGGTAAGGCAAAAGAAGAGGAACCATGGTGAAGAAAGAAGCCAGGCGGCAGCCGCCGAGGTGAAAAAATTGTTAGATGCTGGTTTCATTCGGCAAAGCTACTTTCCTGATTGGGTTGCCAATGTTGTGCTTGCAAAAAAGCCAAATGGAACCTGGTGCATGTGTGTAGACTACACAGACTTGAACAAGGCATGTCCGAAGGATAGCTATCCTCTCCCAAAGATCGACAATCTAGTCGACTCTACAGCCGGCCATGCCTTGATGAGCTTCATGGACGCCTATTCAGGCTTTCACCAGATACCCCTGTGGAAGAAAGATCAAGAAAAGACGACATTCGTCACTGATCAAGGGTTATTCTGCTATACTATGATGCCGTTTGGTTTGAAGAATGCGCCTGCTACCTTCCAAACAATGATTAATACAGTCTTCATTAATCAAATAGGAAGGAATGTGGAGGCATATATTGATGATATGATTGTTAAATCCAAACTCTAGACGGACCATCTTACAGATCTTCGAGAAACATTCGCCACACTCAGGCGGCACCAGGTCATGCTAAATCCTAAGAAATGTGTTTTTGGTGTTGAGTCTGGGAAGTTCCTCGGATTTCTGATTGATCAAAGGGGGATAGAGGCCAATCCAGAGAAAATACAGGCAGTCATAGACATGCAGTCGCCCCGCACTATAAAGGAAGTTCAAAAAATTAACAGGTTGTCTGGCGGCATTGGGGAGATTCCTCAGTTGGTCAGGCGACAAGTGCCTCTATTTCTTCCAAGCAATCAAGAAGAAGACTATGTTTGAATGGGGGACGGATGTAGAGGCGGCCTTCCAAAAGTTAAAGGAACACTTGCACTCTTTGCCAAGGCTCGTCAGCCCTCTGTCAAAGGAAGTGTTATACATGTACTTGGCCGTCTCTGATCATGCTCTCAGTGCCGTTCTCCTTGCTGAAAGAGACGGATGCCAGCTCCCTGTCTATTTCATCAGCCATTTCCTGAAGAATGTTGAGTTACGGTATCCCATGGTTGAAAATTTTGGCTTGGCCCTCTTCATGACAGTTAAGAAGCTGAAGCCTTACTTCTTGGCACATCCGGTCGTGGTCTACACTGACCAGCCAATCAAGCGGCCACTAACAACCATGGAATCATCCGACCGAATGATTAAGTGGGCAATTGAAATGCAAGGCCTAGAAATTACTTTTGAGCCAAGGAAAGCAGTGAAGGGGAAGGCACTTGCCGACTTCATTGTTGAAATGACTAGGCCGGCTGATCCAGAAAATCCTGACCAAGTCTGGAAGGTATATGTGGACGGGAGCTCCACTATGAATGGCTGTGGTGCAGGCGTCATATGTCAGTCTCCTGAGGGAGACAAGTATGAGTATGCACTACGTTTCAAGTTCCAAGCCTCAAACAATGAGGCAGAATATGAAGTCCTACTAGCCAGCATCCGTATGTGCTAGGCAGCCGGGGCAAAGAAAGTGAAAGCTTGTTCTGATTCACAACTGATTGTTAGCCAATATCATGGTGACTATGAAGCCACACATCCGGCTATGATCAAGTATCTACAGGCGGTAAAAGAAGAGGCCGGGA